AGCCCAATGGGCTGCTTTAATGCAACGCACATTAATGTGTGATATAATGTAGCATGCAGGGCTGGACTGACCATTTGGAAACTCGGGCACTGCCCGGGGTCAGTAGGGGGCCCCATGAGATGCCCCTGGTACCTTTTTCATAGGCTTTTTTGAGTTTGGACAAGGACACAGGGGCCCATGATCCCCTATTGCCTGGGGGCCCCATGAGTTGTCAGTCCGCCCCTGGTAGCATGCTAATGTAAATAGGCCCTTGGGGTTGCCGAGAAGTAAAATTGGCCCTTAAGGCCTCATGAACACTGAGCATTCAGCCCACTCAGCAGTACTTCTGTTTAGGGCAGTATGTGCCCAGCTGTGAATGCCTGGAATGTAGACTCATTGATTTGGGCACATACTGTCCTAAACATACATGCTGCAACAGGTTGCCAGTAGTGGGGGTATACAGCATGCCTGTGCCCTCCAAGCACAGCTAAACACCAGAATGCCCAATGTGCATGAGGCCTAAAAAGCCACGATCCACAGAGCACACGGCATGCTATTCACAGGTCTGGGAACACCCCAAAAATGGGGATAATGACAAGCCAAGCTGGAGCAGCTCTGCTAAAAGAGGGAGATGCTGGATGACAAATTTCTTCCCAAAAAAGAGGGAGATTGGGACGCTTCAGAAAACAGTCAGCAGCGTACTTTGTTACATTGCTGGATAAGCACTTGTTTAACTGAGTGTAACTTGAAGACTCAATTCAGCCCCAAATGCTTTTTCCATTTGGCCCAAGGACACCCACAACAACCGTTTTCTATAATGTTAAATACATTCATTCACTGACCCTCTGGAGTATCTCCTCTGCACACATTACCCTTCCATGTGTTATTTCTTAAAAAAGAATTGTAGCCTGTTTCTAAGATCTGTCCTCACCATTTCTCAGTGCATTAGATTTAACTCCTTTATATCTGGGAGCCTTTTTCCTTTTGTCAATTTTATCCCAGTCATGAGGCATTTAAAGAACTCTTATGGCATAAAATATCATATCTTTGTAGTTAAAGTGTTACTAAACCCACAACAGTAAAATCAGTCTGTATATCAGTATGGGGTGAATAAGATTCAGGAGGGCAGTATTTTCAACATGAAACCAAAATAACACGGGGATATGACCAGGGGCAGACTGACAACTCATGGGGCCCCCCGGGCAATAGGGGATCATGGGGCCCCTGTGTCCTTGCCCAAACTCAAAAAAGCCTATGAAAAAGGTACCAGGGGCATCTCATTGGGCCCCCTACTGACCCCGGGTCCTCGGACAGTGCCCGAGTTTCCAAATGATCAGTCCACCCCTGGACATGACCTTAAACTAACTGGAGGAAAGTTCAAAACTAATCTCAGAAAGTATTATTTGACTGAAAGAGTAGTTGAGGCTTGGAATAAACTTCCATCAGAGGTAGTGAGCCAGTCAATAGTGAATACAGTGCCTTGAAAAAGTATTTATACCCCTTGAAATTTTCCACATTTTGTCATGTTATAACCAAAAACGTAAATGTGTTTTATTAGGATTTTATGTGATAGACTAACACAAAGTGGCACATAATTGTGAAGTGGAAGGAAAATAATAGTTGGTTTTTAAACTTGTTTACAAATAAATATTTGAAAAGTGTGGCGTGCATTTGTATTCAGCCCTCTTTACTCTGATACCCCGGACTAAACTCTAGAGGAACTAATTGTCTTCAGAAGTCACCTAATTAGTAAATAGAGTCCACCTGTGTGTAATTTAATATCAGTATAAATACAGCTGTTCTGTGAAGCCCTCAGAGGTTTGTCAGAGAACATTAGTGAACAAACAGCATCATGAAGGCCAAGGGACACAGCAGACAAGTCAGGGATAAAGTTGTGGAGCAATTTAAAGCAGGGTTAGGTTATAAAAAAAATATCCCAAGCTTTGAACATCTTACGGAGCACTGTTCAATCCATCATCCAAAAATGGGAAGAGTATGGCAAACCTGCAAACCTACCAAGACATGGCTGTCCACCTAAACTGACAGGCTGGGCAAGGAGAGCATTACTCAGAGAAGTAGCCAAGAGGCCCATGGTAACTCTGGAGGAGCTGCAGAGATCCACAGCTCAGCTAGGAGAAGCTGTCCACAGGACAACTATTAGTCGTGCACATCACAAATCTGGCCTTTATGGAAAAGTGACAAGAAGAAAGGCATTGTTGAAAGAAAGGCTTAAGCCATGTGGGGGACACAGCATACATGTGGAAAAAGGTGCTCTAGTCAGATGAGACCAAAATTGAAATCTTTGGCCTAAAAGCAAAACACTATGTGTGTCAGAAAACTAATACTGCACATCACCCTGAACACATCATACCCACTGTGAAACATAGTGGCGGCAGGATCATGCTGTGGGGATGCTTTTCTTCTGCAGGGACAGGGAAGCTGGTCAGAGTTGATGGGAAGATGGATGGAGCCAAATACAAGGCAATCTTAGAAGAAAACTTGTTAGAGTCTGCAAAAGACTTGAGACTGGGACAGAGGTTCACCTTCCAGCAGGACAATGACCGGAAACATACAACCAGAGCTACAATAGAATGGTTTATATCAAAGCATATTCATGTGTTAGAATGGCCCAGTCAAAGTCAAGACTTAAATACAATTGAGAATCTATGGCAAGAGTTGGAAATTGCTGTTCACAGACGCTCTCCATCCAATCTGACAGAGTTTGAGCTATTTTGCACAGAATAATGAGCAAAAATGTCCCTCTCTAGATGTGAAAGCTGGTAGAGACATTCCCAAAAAGACTTGCAGCTGTAATTTCAGCGAAAGGGGGTTCTACAAAGTATTGACTCAGGGGGGCTGAATACAAATGCCGCCACACTTTTCACGTTTATTTGTAAAACATTTTGAAAACCATTTATCATTTTCCTTCCACTTCACAATTATGTGCCACTTTTGGTCTGTCACATAAAATCCTAAAAATTTCAAGGGGTATGAATACTTATTCAAGGCACTGTAGATTCAAACATGCTTGAGACAAGCATAGATCTGTAACCCAACCCCCCTCCCAAAAAAAAAAAAAAAAAAACAAAAACGGGCAGACTCAATGGAACACTCAATCTTTTTCTGCCATCACATTTCTATGTTTCTATATGCAGTAAAGCATGCTTGTTATACTCACTGTGGAACCTAAGGGGTTAATCCTCCACATCGTGTAAAAATAATGTTTGATCCTGTCTTCTCTGATCCTCCCATTCTTTTACTGTCCTCAATCTATCTGCTGATAGTACAGAGCTCTACGAGTCACTCTGCACATGCTCAGTTTGGTGTGTATCAATAACCAGTGCTGGGCCGGACACTGATAGACTGGTATATACTGCTGATAAGAAAAAATATTTAGCAGTTTATATTTACTTAAATAATTGCATTTCCATGTTCCGTGTACAGTGAAAGACCAGATATAGTGAATGCAGGCCCCTGGGTTTAATAACACTTTCTCGATAGCATTCAGAATAAAAATTTCCTTCTGTTATCTGTTTCATAGGGTTTTACTTATATTTTTCTCCATATTTACATATAAGGGTTCTTATACATGGAACTCATGTATGAACATCAGATATTCCTGGCACAAAGTTCCTGTGTAAAAATGTAAGGGTGGGCTGTATAGTATATGCATATACCAGTGTACCAGTGTAAAATGCTGAGCAGCAATGCAGATTTTTGTATATTTTTGTTACTGATCACTGCATCGCTAGTTTACATGCCTGGTTGTACATGCGTATTAAAAACAATGGGCTGCATTTAGGTCAGAAAAAAAATGCCCAAAGGCCTAAAAACATGGCAGTTGTAGACATCTGTGTGCAAGAGCCATAAAAGTGACAGCTGCAGGGTTTGGGACAAGCCACATACCACAGCTACAGGTGCTTACCGTGGTCATCTTTTATCTACAGTGTATGATTTAAAAAAAAAAAGAATAACAGTTGCTATACCACCTATAATTTGTTAGCTGGAATTGGGCTTTGATTCATTTGTTGGTTACTTTATGTATAGCTGATGCCATTTTTCTTCCTTTTGGATAGGGCAGAAAATGGTTAAAACCTGCAATTTTTCTTTTCGGTTTGTGTCTCATTTAGGAGATTTTCTTTCACTTCCTGTCCTGGACACAACAGGAAGTGAGAGAGAAATCTCTTCTGAGCAATGGAAATCCCTTCTTGGACAGTTTGTCACTGAAACAAGAACTCCCTTTAGAATATTTCCATTGCATTTGAATATTTCCAGTGCATTTTAACCTGTATGTCAATCTAAGATGGATCTATCCCCAGGGGGTACACTCCAATGCAAAAATTAATTGCGGTGATAACAGCTTTGTTACCCAGTTAAAGAAAAAGAAAAATATTGGCAGGATCAAAAGGTATAGGATTTTTAGATGTTACTGGGGAATTTAGAAAAAATTAAATTGCTTTGTTAATGCTAGCCTATGAAAATAAAAAGAGCTTGAATGCTAAATGATTGTCTCAAAAGTCCAAAATCAATTAATATAATCCTCATGGGGCCCTGGGCAATAGGGATCATGGGGCCCCTGTATCCTCCCCCACACTCAAACCACACCCAAAAAAGCCTATGAAAGGTACCAGGGGCATCTCATGGGGCCCCTTACTGACCCTCGGGCAGTGCCTGAGTTTCCAAATGGTCAGTCCGCCCCTGTTAGGGACCTTAGATTGTAAGCTCCTTGAGAGCAGGGCCTAATGTCAATGTGCAATATACACTATATTGCCAAAAGTATTGGGCCCACCCTCCAAATCATTGGATTCAGGTGTTCCAATCACATCCATGGCCACAGGTGTATAAAATAAGGCACCTAGGTATGCAGACTGCTTTTTCTCATTATTATTATTACACAGGATTTATATAGCGCCAACAGTTTGCTCAGCGCTTTACAATATAATGGGAGACAATACAGCAACAATACAATTCAATACAAGAGGGATAGGAGGGCCCTGCTCCTCGGAGCTTACAATCTAGGAGCTTCTACAAACATTTGTGAATGTATAGGTCGCTCTCAGGAGCTCAGTGAATTCAAGCGTGGTACTGTGATAGGTTGCCACCTGTGCAATAAGTCCATCCGTGAAATGTTCTTGATACTAAATATTCCACAGTCAACTGTTAGTGGTATTATAACAAAGTGGAAGCAACTGTGAAGAACAGCAACTCAGCCACCAAGTGGTAAGCTACATAAAATGACAGAGCGGATGCTGAAGCACACAGTGCGCAGAAGTCACCAGCTGTCTGCAGGATCAATAGCTAAAGACATCTAAACTTCATGTGGCCTTCAGATTAGCACAGCAACAGTGCATAGAGATGCAGTGGTGTAAAGCACGCCGCCACTGGACTCTAGAGCATTGGAGATATGTTCTCTGGAGTGATGAATGATGCTTCTCTGTCTGGTAAGCCAATGGATGTGTCTGGCTTTGGCGGTTGCCAGGAGCAGATACTTGCCTGACTGCATTGGGCCAAGTGTAAAGTTTGGTGGAGAGTGGATTATGGTGTGGAGTTGTTTTTCAGGGGTTGGGCTTGGCCCTTTTAGTTCCAGTGAAAGGAATTCTTAGGGCGTCAGCATACCAAGACATTTTGGACAATTTCATGCTCCCAACTTTGTGGGAACAGTTTGGGGATGGCCCCTTCCTGTCCCAACATGACTGTGCACCAGTGCACAAAACAAGGACCATTAAGACATGGGTGAGCACGTTTGGGGTTGAGGAACCTGACTGGCCTGCACAGAGTCCTGACCTAAACCTGATAGAACACCTTTGGGATGAATTAGAGCGAAGACTGCGAGCCAGGCCTTCTCATCCGACATCAGTGCCTGCCCTCACAGATGTGCTTCTGGAAGAATGGTCAAACATTCCCATAGACACACTCCTAAACCTTGTGGATAGCCTTCCCAGAAGAGTTGAACCTGTTATAGCTGCAAAGGGTGGGCCAACTCAGCATTGAACCCTATGGACTAAGACTGGGATGCCATTAAGTTCATGTGCATGAAAAGATAGGTGCCCAATCCTTTTGGTAATATAGTGTATATGTGAAGCGCTGTGTAAATTGACAGCACTATATACAGGCAGGTCCATAAATATTGGGACATCGACACAATTCTAACATTTTTGGCTCTATACACCACCACAATGGATTTGAAATGAACAAGATGTGCTTTAACTGCAGACTGTCAGCTTTAATTGAGGGTATTTACATCCAAATCAGGTGAACGGTGTAGGAATTACAACAGTTTGCTGCAGTTAAAGCACATCTTGTTTGTTTTATTTCAAATCCATTGTGGTGGTGTATAGAGCCAAAAATTTTATAATTGTGTCAATGACCCAATATTTATGGACCTGACTGTAAGTACCTGAAATAAACAAAGACATATAACAACAGAATGGCAAAAGACAGCAAAACTCCCCCTTCATCAGAGTCTGAACAATGTAGTCTGTGTCTATTGGACGTAATGCTAGACCTACATACTGTATTTAATTTAAGATTTTAAAAATTACATTTCAAAATTTATTTTTAAATTTAGGTAAATATGAAATATGGAAAACCAATATTTTATAACATTTTGCATTTTACACCAGCTGTGACAGAGGAAACACTGGCAGAGAAATCTGGAGTGGTAAGTTGTAATGGGTTGTAATGGGTGGAGGAGGTACACACAGAGACTGTCACTTTACCCCGAATAGAAAGAAAATACTTTTTTATTTGTTGCATCTCAGTGTTGCTGATCTCCTATGGCCTATTTGCAACCACATGCTACCTATGTGCGCCTGCTCCAGCGGCGGCTGCACATCATTGTTTAGGATATATTTCCACATGATGACAGCAGTGTAAATGCCTATGCAATGGTAGCTTGTACAGACACTTCAATCTCCAGTGCATGTGACAGGGTGAAATTGCAGCAAAGCAATTGACAGAAAATGACAGAGCCAAGCTGTAGATTTAAATAGGAGATGACTATGTAGGCTATACCAGTGATGTATTTAGATTTCGTGCTGCCCTAGGCAAAAATCATCCCCCCCCCGCCATGGAGAGACCCTGACACTGACAAACACCCCCCTCCCCACGATAAGAGCCTGACATTGACCAACAACACCCCACCCGAGAGAGCCTTCCACTACCACCGCCCCCATACACTGGCAACCCCTCCCACCCCGGCCAGAGAGAAGACACTCACCTTCACAGCTCTGGACATCCCCAGGAACAAGCGTCAGGCTCTGCATACACCATCAAGCAGCCTACAGCCTCTATCAGATCCCACCTGGTCCCCATGCTGCGTGTGTCCTTTCTTCCATCCCTTCATTCGGGGGCGGTGCTGCCCCCCTGAAAAATGCCACTGCCCCCCTGAAAAAAATGCCGCCCTAAGCAATTGCCTTGTTTGCCTTGCGGTAAATACACCCCTGGGCTATACAGAGTTTCAGATTAGATCTAATTAACCATTTGCCTGTAGTGTGTCTTTAAATCACTTCTTTTCCTGAAAGTGCTTATACAGCAAAGCAGCCACAAACAGCTGTTTTTAAAATTACTAGGACTCATCAGTGTGGGCTGCTGGCTCTGCAGAGTCAACTTTGCTCCCGGCTTCTTGCATCCAACTGCATCTTTTATGCTTACTCACTACTGCGCTGTTTTATTTTCTCCTTCTTCGGAAAAGTTGACCCTCTGGAGGTTAAAGAGACATGAGTAGATTCACAATCACTAGAACTGTAAACCTGTGAAGGATTTGATCCTTGAAATGCACATCTCAGGATTTCAAGTTTTATGTCCTAAACCTCATACTTCTTGTTCAATTTCCTATTATTTATTTACTGATTTCCACCCATTTTTTACTACCATCAACAACCCACGATCTTCCAGCTTTTTGTTTTAAAAGGAAGACAAAGAAAACCCTGCTTGCAACTTTTGACGGTTTTGCTACGCAGGAGGAAAACAATCCTTCCTATGCCTTATTAGCCTTCAGTTCTTTTTTTACAGTGGAACTTTACCCATAACAACTTGATAAAAAATAATGTTCTTTAGCAAGGAACATACATTCCACATTAATAATTAGCTACGAAAATTAGTGTGTGCTGTAAATTGTCTCCAACACTGCTCCTGTTTCTACTTGCTGGAGGCTGCCATTTTGCCAAAGCCCAGAGCCCCTGAACAACAGTAAATCATACAGTGGAATTAGTTGATGGAGAGTGTGATGAGGCTGAAGCATTACGGGTGGAACTGCACATGGGGGTGCGTACTACAAAGGTAATCATTGGACTTTGTTATAGGTCACTGAGTGTTAATGAGAAGGTAGAGACTCAGCTCCTTGCACAGATCGAAAGGGCTGAAAGGGCTGGGACAGTGATAATAGTGGGGGATTTTAACTACCCGGAAATTGACAGGAGTAATGGCACTACAGGAACAGTTAAAGGGAAAAAATGTATAATCCTACTACAGGACAATTTTATGGTACAGTTCATAGAGACCCCAACTAGGAATGATGCTCTGCTGGACCTGGTAATCTCAAACCATGCAGAGCTTATTACGAATGTCCATATAAAAGAACATCTGGGTAGCAGTTACCATAACATGATTTAATTTATTGTTAGCTGTAAACACCAAGCACATACGTGAAAAATAAAAACACTCAACTTTAAGAGAGCTAATTTTCCAAGCCTGAGAGCTGCTCTCCAAGACTTAGACTGGGAGGGAATTTTGGCATCGATGAACACAACACAGAAATGGGAGTTCTTCACAAAGACTGTACAGTATGTGAACACACTGCAAAATATATTCCCATGGGCAACAAGTTTAAAAGGCTAAAAATCAAACCTATGTGACTTACGGCAAAAGTAAAAAAAACTATAAATAATAAGAAAAGAGCTTTTATTAAATATAAAAATGAAGGAATGCAAGCATCGTTTCAACATTACAAAGAATATAAGTGAATATGTAAAAAGGAAATCAAGGCCACAAAAATTGAAAATGAATGACAGATTGCAAAAGATAGCAGGGCAAACCTCCAAAAAGTCTTCAAATATACTAATAGTAAAAAGGTCCAGTCCGAGCATGTAGGCCCTTTTACAAAATAATCTAGAATGGGTGACTGGGGACAACGAGAGTTTAATAAAGGACCACATGGATGAGTTCTTGCTGGAAAAAATATATATTTTAAGCAACAGACAGCATGGATTCATGAAAGACAGATGTTGTCAAACAAATCTGATTTCTTTTTATGAGGGGGTGAATAAAACCTTGGACAGAGGGGTGGCGGTGGACGTGGTATACTTGGATTTTGCAAAAGCGTTTGACACAGTTCCCCACACACGGCTAATGTGTAAGGTAAAGTCTACGGGCTTGGAAAAATCTGTATGTAAATGGATAGAAAACTGGCTAAAAGATCATATTCAGAGTAGTGGTTAATGATTCATACTCTGAATGGTCTAGGGTTGTCAGTGGTGTACCCCAAGGTTCTGTGTTGTGACCCTTACTTTTTAATATATTTATAAACGATATAGGTCTGGGATTAAAAATACTGTTTCAATCTTTGCAGATGACACCAAGCTTTGCAGTGGAATAACATCCTTACAGGATGTCTTCAATTTACAAACTGACCTCAATGCACTGTTTAATTGGGCAACTATGTGGCAAATGAGGTTTAATGTTGATAAATGTAAGGTTATGCACTTGGGGGCTAAGAATTTGCATGCATCATACATACTAGGGGGGGTACAACTGGGGGAATCAATGGCGGAGAAGGATCTGGGAGTTCTGGTAGATCACAAGCTTAATAATGATATACACATGCCAAGCTGCGGTTTCTAAAGCGAGCAAAATCCTCTCTTGTATTAAAAGAGGTATAGACTCCAGAGAGAGATATATCATATTACCCCGGTACAAATCATTAGTAATACCTCATCTAGAATATGCAGTTCAGTTTTGGGCACCAATTCACAAAAAGTACATTGGGGAACTGGAGAAAGTACAGAGAAGGACAACCAAACTGATAAGAGGCATGGAGGAGCTCAGCTATGAGGAAATATTAGAGGAACTGAATTTGTTCTCTGAGAAAAGGAGATTACGGGGGGATATGATCAACATGTATAAATATATCAGTGGTTGATATAGTAAACTCAGTGTAGAGTTATTCACCCTGACATCATCACAGAGGACAAGGGGGCACTCTTTACGTCTGAAGGAGATTTATTCTCAAAATACGAAAAGGTTTCTTCACAGTAAGAGCTACGAAAATGGGGAATAGAATTCTGGCCAGCTCAGTGCATTGCTTTAAAAAAAGACCTGGATTCTTTCCTAGATCCACATAAAAAAAACTATATAATT